TGTTGGTAACTATAGTGGCGACGGCTCTGGTAGTGATACTATTACTGGACGTGACTTCGGCTCAAATCACTTTCTCAAAGGACTGGCGTCCGGGCGGTAAACGTGCCGTTGATAACTATGGCTGTCAGCAAATGGCCGATTTGGCCGTTATTAAGATACGGGAACTCATCAGGGTGAGTTTTAGATTTATCATTCTTTTTATCAACATTTTGTTTTAATTGTAGCAAATATTCAAAGTCTCAATTCTTTAAGACAAGTATTGATATAAAAGTTTTTAAGCTTACATAACTTTAAAGATACTCATACAACATAGTAATAACTACAGTATTTTGATAATTACAACATTTACTGATAATTATTGAATAAATTCTAAAACAGATTCAATCACTAAAATTATATTTCAAAATTGATATAAAATAGATTCTTATATAACATATTGATTATAATGAAAAAATATTATTAAAATACATGGTCTGAGACTAAAGAAGGATGCGAATGGTCCTATAGTTAACCGCCATTTAACATAGCAATGAATAATCATGGTCTGAAACTTTTATTAATGATGTCCCCATGTCTGTAGGACATAGGGTTTGTGAGTAATCGGTACTTTTAATAGAGAAATATTTTGTAGTAAAATCAATAATTAATAGACAAATAGATCATACTGTATGAATTGAAAGAATTTGATGAGGGTAGTAAGATCTTGAAGAAGACTCGTTTCTAATATCACTGGGAAAAGTTGCTCAAAACAAAATATTTTTATCCTTATTTTTGATAAAAACCCGGGTCTGCCCAACCTTTATGTAAACAGAACAAATATAGACCTTTACCTATAGTTAATGTATTACTTTATAATACCTCATATTTATATATTATATAAAAGTGACTAAACCAGCTTAAGCGGCTTACTATAGGACCGTTAGTATCTTTATTTGTAAGCTCATTAAGACTAATATAAATAGAATTTGTTAACATGTACTTTTTAATAATCGTAATAGTAATCGTGTATAATTTAATAATCGTCTTTACTGTACAGATATTGTGTAACATTTGCTAAAACATAGTAAAGCACTTAAATTTTGAATTGCATGTCATTTAGTGCTTAAAGAGTTGTCAACATTTTTCAATTTATTTGTATCATTAACTTTATATTTATATAATTTATTAATAATTAAAATTTATTATTATTACCACAGAGAGAATCACTGAATATTCTTCACTGCGAGTCCGACAATCATATGACTGCACCCAACGATTCGGTCAAATAATTGGTTATCATTTGATTGCATATTATTTATGTCTCTAATAATTATTATATAAATTGTCATTTGAA